CGTTTCGCGTTCCTCCCCTCGCGGCCGCGCGCGCGGTTGCGATCCTAACGGTTCCCTGCAACGCGGTTCACGCAAACGTGAACGCTCTTCGGGCTGCACACTCGGGCTGCGCTACTCCTGCACACACACACACACACACACACACGCGCGTGCATGAAGGAAGATCGGAACGAAGAAGCTCGCGAGAGGAAAAACGGCCGGAAGGTCGGAGGTGGACGAGCGGAGTGCGCTTATTCCATCTGCGTTTTTTTCTCGATTCTCTCTGTATCCTCGCTCCTCCCATTCATTTTTTCCCCATGACGAGCCTGATTTATCCATTAAATGAAATCAAGCGTTTTTCTCATTAGGTTATAAGTTATGCTTTTCTTCTGATATTAGAAGGTGCTCTGAGAAACGTTTTGTAGAACACGAATTCAGTGTGTATACGTGTATTATTTTTTTAGTGTGACATACTCGAAATTTCTTTCATTTTGTTACATTTGCTTGTTACTGCTGTATTTCTTAGTGTCTAACGTTCTGATTAAAAAAACCTTAATTGTGTTAACAATTTTGAATTTTATAGAAATGTCTGGTTTTAGTCCACTTGTTTGTTTTTTTTCTAAAAGTGTGTTATATGCACGTACATATGTGCATTTTTATGTGATATTTTTCACAATACCCACACAGTGTGATAAGTACAAAATAATATAGAGTGGCATCGGAGTATTCAAATTTCGTCTCAGTATTGTGAAATATTCGGTAACTTAACCTAACCTAATCTCTTGGGTTCAAAAAATAACATTTTGTTATTTTAGCTTCCATGTATGTCAAAATTTAAATCAATTCATTTCTATAATTAATTCTAAAATAACATCCGTATTAAAGTATACACTTTAGTAGATGCTCGTAAACTAAATTTTTTTAAGTTAAATTTTGATATAAGTACATTTAAAAGTTATCTTGAGTTAAGTTATTTCAAGTGTACCTATATGGCACACATACAATGCATTTTTTCCTATCGGATTGTTTGTATTTTAATAAATTATTCTATGTTCTGCGTGATACAATTTATTCTAGTAATTTACTAAAATGCAAGCAGTTCAGAAGGAGAAAATGGCCGTAGAACGTGTGCCGTAAGCTTAACTAAAAAAATCTCCACTCTTTTAATTAAATTAACACATTGATCGGAGTAGTGACGATCTATAAAAATTATGAAAATTAATTCAAATTATGTACCATATATAATTTGACATTATAAATTTAACAGTGTATGTTCGATTTTAGAAAAGGCAACTTCCTAACTGTTATATCTAAGAAAAGATACAAGGTACCTACTACAATCCCCCGCGATTTAATTACGGGTGAGCGCACGAAACCGGGACGATCACGCGCGGATCGTGTTGCCGCCGATCCTTCTCGTCCTCGATCGCCAGGCTAGGCCGCCTCGGCGCAATAGTGGATCGCGCGATAGTGAAAGTACACACGGAAAGGAACAAAGAAAGGTGGAAAAGAAGCGGAGCGAGCGGCCGCAAGTGAGCCCCTTTAGATGGATGAAAGTTATCGGAGAAAGCCAATTGGCACCGTCGATCTCGCGAACGAGCGTGCGAGCGCGAGCGGAGCGAGTGCGCTTGCAGCTCTTGCTAAACGCCATTCAACGCATCGCGCGCGCTCGCTGCTGCACCGCTCGTATGCGAGTCACGAGTATCGGGCGCGAGCGCGCGCACACGGAGAAAATAAGTGCACTCGCCGCGCCGCGCCGCGCCACGCAGCTCCATAGCTTTACGTAACTTCACGGCTCCGCGTTCCTCTTTCCGCGCGCGACCAGGGCCGAGTCTATCGTGTCTCAAGTCTCTCCTGAGATCCGCAAATCGCAAAGCTGAAAATACCTTTATACGCCTGTAAAGAATGAGATCCGGAAACAGATCTTTCCAAAGAAATGCAAAATCATTTTTTATTCGTCGATGTCATCGTATTCGCAAAGAAGTGTTGTACCTATCTATACGGAGGTGTTTTATCGCGGGAATAAAATATCCCCAAGCAGATTTTATCTCAAAGCTTTGTTTCAGTTTATTGATCAAAAAATATAATATTGAAAAATGACCGATAATCTGTCTCGACATTTAGCAAAAACAAAAACTATAGATACATTAGGAAAAGAAATTTAGTGCCTTCAGTAAAAATGGGTTTTTTTAATACTAACCAAATACTTTGTTTATATGACAAAAAATTAGTTGCTTTTGTCCAATAAATTTTTCAAATTTTTCAAATAATAAAAATATTTATTTATAATACATCAACTGAAAAGATAGGAAAGTTACTTTGTAAAAGTAATTAATTACAGTTACAATTTTTCTCTTCCAAAAAGTAATTAATTACAAGTTATTGACTCTGAAAAGTAATTCATTACAGTCACAGTTACTGAAAAACTTGCGGAAAACTTTAAATTAGTTTTAAGTTACTTTTGAGTTACTTTTTTTCATCGGAATTTTCACTAGTAGTACATCGATACCATTAAGGCTGCATTCAGAAACGTTACTCGATTGTCTTCGTGTATCGTTTTATCCTTATTTTTTACTTAATATTAAACAAGGATGATACACGGAGTTATCAGAGTAATGCAGCCTAGGACAATTAAAAAAAAGACTGATTCACATTTATATGTTATACAATTTTATTCAAAAAGATAAGAAAATTATTTGGCAAAGACGTTTTTCGTTAAAGTAATATAAACACATATGCGAATATGAAAGCACACATATACAATGTTTTTTGTAAAAAAAAAATTCTTTTTATATTTGGCTAAAAGTTGCAAATAAATTCCAGCAAAAATGGATTACGCGATTGCGTTCAAAAAACAACGACTCAGTGATCAGGTGAATTTAGTACTACACAAGTTCATTGAGCGCTCTTGCATTTGATTCGCCGATTCCATTACATTCAAAAATATAGATCAAACAGGTACAAGAATTCATTGATCGCTTTAATTAAATTTCTTTCTTCTGATTAATTAAATGTTTCGAAGCACTTGTAGCGCCAAGTGGACACTACCGCACACTAAATTGATAAATAAGTTTAAAATATATAAAACAACTATGAAAGTAACTATTAAATTAGTTACTAGTTACTTAAAAAATGTAACTAAGTTAAATTATAATTACAGATGAATAGAAAGTAACAAAGTTGAATTACAAAAGTCACTGAAAAAAGGTAACTCTCGCTGTAACTTCATTACAAGTAACGAGTTACTTCCCCATCCCTGATATCAACTAAACTGTTTAATTGGTATAAACGAATCTTTTTTTTGTTACTCAAAAACCTAAAAATGTATTAAGCAAAAGCAATTAATTTTTTTTTCTAGCGTGTGTCATCAATATCTGGCATTCAATAATATATGGAAGTTCTCTTATTTTAAAAAACGTGATTTTCAAAAAAGTGATTGTTATCATAAATGAGTTAGAAATAAACATCACTCTATTAATCATTAAACATGAACTAACTTAACTTTATAAAAAATTATTAAAGTCGTGACAATTTAAAAAGATGATTTTTTTAAGGATTGAAACAAAAATGATAAAAAAATACTTGATCACACAAGGTTGAAAATTTTTCTTGGAATTCTTCTTGTCGATATTATTATAACTGATTAGTCAATAATTTTCTGTCAAGTTAAAAAATAGTTTTTCCTATTTTCTAATTTAATTTTTTAATTATACCTTTAAAAAAAAAGAGCGATATGTAATTTACAATAAGAAATTAAAACACGCGATTTTTCGACACTTTTACTTAATCAATTATAGCTTTCGGTTTACGACGCTAAATTACGTACTGAATGCCAAACGAAGTTATGTGTTTCTTAGGTTTCTTTCTTCGCGTTACGCTTTCATCGTAGATCCGATTGATTTACTTCAACGGGAAAGAAAAGTTCACGTAAGGGGTATACGAGAACGACGATGGAGGTTAATGAAGCTCTTCCGGCCGCGTAAGGTCTCATAGCCACGGCGCGGCGCGGCGCGGCCGCGGCCGGCGGGAAAAAAGGAGCAAAAGCTGCAGGAGGTTCGAACGACGCGCGCTCGATGTTATCAGCTCTCCGTTCCTCGCGCGTAAGGATGAACGATGATTTGTCGAGCGAGTCTGCGAGACACGAGAGTGCCGCATAAATTCTTATTAGCGCGGTGTTACGGCGCCTCATAAAAATCCATCGCCGCAATCTGCCTGTCTCGGGATTACTTCCAATATTCCGATACCATTCAAGTGTATAGTAAATTAATATTATAGTATAACATATAGTGTCTCGTTATAGTTATTATTTTTCTCATTATTATTATTATTATGACTTCTCATTATTCATAATATCTATAGTTAAAAGGCAAAATTTTTTTAAATTATATTTTATACTAGGTAGTCTCTAGATATTGTCTAATATTATCTAGATATTATCGAAACGTATCTTTGTAGTATAGAAATTATTATAGCTTTCCATGAAGTTATTATCTGTTATTGTGGAAACGTTTTTCTTCATTATTAATACATATGTATTTGTGATATTCAATATCGAACAGTTAATAAGAATTATGCATGCAACGAAAGCGATACACTTACTTTCTACTTTTGTTTTACAAATGATAAAATCGTTTGACGCAAATAAATAATTAAATTCGACAACATGAAATAATTCCGAAATTCGATATTTCGACGATAGTTTAAAGAAACTGCCTTTTTGATCATAAATCATTTTCAATGAAATTTGAAACCTATGATCATCAACTTATATTTATGAATCTATTAAATTTTACCATAGATCTTTTTCAATGTATTTCTTTTTGTTTACAGAATTGGTATAATCAATTTAAAGTCTAACAGAATTCTAAAGTTTTAAGTTTCCAAACTGTTGTTTAATTTAAACATAAATATAAAAGTTCTTTTAATCAATACGTGATTGAATTGATTTTAAATAATACACATTTTTTTAGATTTTTATGATTTGGATGTTAATATTTAAAAATAAAATTGACTATTTACAGAACCAGTGTCTAGAAAAAGACGTGAACGGAAGGATATACTTTCGAAGATGCAAAACATCCTCGGCCCATTAGGAATGCTTCATGGATGCATGGAGAATAAAATCCGAATTAGGGTAGGTCATCAATTAATTTTTTTTAATCATTTAATATTTTATATTTTGTAAAATTCTGTCAGACGATTTTTTAAAGAAAAAAAGCGAATTTTCATTAAGTAACATAAAGATGATTTTAAATTTATATAGATTTTTCGATTTTAAAAATTGTGTATATAGAGATTGATTGAAGACTTAACTCTCTCATTGTAAAAATTCATCAAAACTATATTCAATTTTGTTATATTCAAAGACTTAAATTACTAACGTATCTCTCATTGCATCAATCTTCCGCTTATTTCACTCTCTCTCCCTCCCTCCCTCCCTCCCTCCTAGCAAAAAATGTTTAAACACAAATTTTCAACACAGATATTTTCTTTCATCACAATTTCCCACTAAAACACGCCCTTCCTAATCCTTTACTTTACACCCTAGCTAAAGAAGCAGTCTTAAAAAAGAGCACTTAGTCCGCCCTTCTTTACCGCAGTTCTTTCCCTTCCGTCATTTCTTTTCCATCCATCCAACCCTTAACGCTGTGCGTGTACGCATACACGACTGACACACTTTCACAACCGGGTGACACACACACACACACACACACACACACACACACACACACACACACACACACACACACACACACACACACGAACCCTTAGCGAGGAGGTATTCGAAGGGCGATGAGACCCACCCTTCGTCAAGAAATACGATCGGGGAGGAAAGAAAAGCATTCGGGTCAACACTCGTAACCATGGTGACCCAACGGGCGCTCTAGCCACCTCTGTTTACGTCCCTGACATGTCGTCGTCGTACGATAAACGATTCAACATAAAATGAGAGCCGCACAGAGTCGCACTGCTAACCTAACATTTATCCCTTAAAGTACACACAATCGAGTACAATTTGGAATTCTTCGGAAACTGTTATTGATCATTGCATACGAAATCTTTGATTCCGAAAGTTTTGACCAATTTCCATGGAACGTTAAAAAGTTTTTCAATTGCTATTTCATTTCACCTAAAATTAAATACCAAAGTCATAAATGCAATACATGCGAAACAATAAAAAAAATATGATTCTTATAAGATCAATATTTTATGAAGACAGTAGTACTTTTACGAAGACAATACTTTTACACTATGATGTATCGAACAAGCAGAACTCGACCGACACCATCTATAGAACGATAAAACTATCTATAAAACGATAAAACAGTGTTCGACATCCGTTCGCAAAGGATTAATATAAAGCATTCTCAATATATTTCATTTTCTTGCAAAAGAAGGTAAAAGCAAAAAAGGAATAAAATTGTTATAAATATAAAGATTTTTCCAATAAAGCCAGTTGTTTATTTATTTTTCGTTAGAATGTTTACGTCAATTTGTGGAGATGCTTACTTATAGCCAAAGCTGTAATTTTAAACCGAACATTTTTCAAGAACAATATTTTGTAAACAGATAACAATCTGAGAAATTTACCTCTTTTGTAATATATTATATATGTATATGTACAGAATCAACGTCTTCGAGATTGTACAATCAATCCGGAAGTGAACGCCCGTCACCGAGGAAAGTTGTAAAATTACGGCATGATGTGCACGCTGATAAATCATCATCGTACTTATCTAATCGCATCCGATGATTTCTCGCGGCGCGCTTAATGATTGCCGCCGTACGCTAAGGACGGCTAATAATAGGACAATGAGATGGAATAATGAAAAATAAAAATCAAATTGATTTAATTGGGCTTCCACCGAACGGATGCGGATATCTTCAACAAGGAGGATGGAGTTTCCGATTAGCCTCCTTCCGCAAGCTTAAATTAAATATTAACTTCTATCGTCGTCGTCGCGTTCCTTAACTCGCGTTGTCTTTCAAATCGTCCTCGACGGCAGATCCTAATCTCCTGTCCGACCTTCGAACGCATCCGGAAAGAAGATTTTATCTTGGCGAATCAATCACTCGACCTTCGACCGTTCAAATTGCTGAGGAAAGCACGCGGATTTTTTTTCTTCTTTATTATCAAGTCATTCAAACTCATCTCGTCGCAAATATAAGTGCATTCAGAAAAAAATGGCGAGGGACGTTCGATTATGTTGATTGAATAATCGGATAGCTCTAACGTCTGAGATTTATTATCCATGTATATTACTGGTGTGAAGAAAAAGTGAATTTACACATCTAATTGTTTGCGTGTATAACATTACGTAGAATTATTTTATTTTAGAAAATGAATTAAAATGACAAAATCGCTCAAGTGGCCCCTCACAAAAGATAGTTTTGCTGAAACGTCTAAAAATTTAGCTAATATAGATCTGAATTATTTTAATGATTCAACAAAATTGTTTTCGGATCTGCGAGTGTATCTATAATATCGCAGCCTCGAACACTTCCGAAATTTTCCGGTCTAATTAAATCCATGTCTTACCACCGAATCGCCCTCGATATCTCATTACTGCGATCTCTCGATCAATGAAATCCTTGAATCCACGGTCAAGAAAATCCTGACACATCAAGCGCGCAAAATTGTCTCTATTCCAAAACAACGATTAACTCTAATGACACCATATTTTCATCACATCCGCAATCGATGATTAGTTGATTAGATATAGTCGTTTAATCAAAGTGAAAACTGCAGAAAAATAAGCTGTGTCGAATTAATTCACGAGCAAATGGGCAAAATGACTCCATTAGATCATCATTTATGTAAAAAGAAAAAAAAAACATGCGGAAGGGCTAAGTGAGTTCTGTCACCTTGAAACGGCGAATACCAGACTCCTAGAATTGATTCTAGCTAATTCGCGGACATCGCTGGCGACTCAATGACTCGCGATGACACATACATACACAAGTCCGAGGCTTGCAATTAGTTCTCATTGCGACAAGTTGCGGTATGTTTGTACTACAGCACGAAAGGTATTGAAAGGGGCCTTGTTGCCTGTACTTCCGCGTATCGGGCCACTATCTTGTAGCCGTATTTATGCGGCAAGCAACGTTTTTTCTCACAGACCTTCCTCAACCAGGCGCAGTGTGTGTCTTTAATGAATTTTATCGTCTTATTAAAGTAGTATTATGCTGAATATTATCACTCTCTTTTATACGTATTATCTCCAAATACGATAGCAATGCCGAAATTCTAGCTTTGTGAGCTTCAATTTAGGTTGAAAAAGATCGAACTTAAAAAAAAAAGTTTTTTTTAGACAAAATTATGAAATAAAATAGAAAAAAAGAGATTAGAATTCATAATAAATAACGCCTTCTAGTCTACAAATGCACTGATAATGATATAATAATGAAATAGAAACAATTAAAACTGACACTAATCGTATTCGTAATTATGAACGTAATTAGTGTCACTTTTAGTTATTTCTACACGTAATTTGTTAATCGTACAAAAGTACGATGAATGCGCAGCATATGCGACATGACGAAAAAAAATTGACTGAATTGCATCATATGACGATTTACCTATACAAAAGTTAAGACACTCTTCGCGAGAAACTTCAACGATAAAAAATCCGGTTTAGCTCTTCCATAGACTCATTTCACGTAACACATTACATTATTGTAATCTGATATAATAGAATATTTTAAGAATTCTTAAAATAATAATAATAACAAATTCAAGGCTATAATAAGATACAGCGCGGGAGAGGGTGCGAAATATTAATAGAATGATAACTCCGTGATGATTTCTTTATTGACATCATAGAATAATTGCGGAGTTAGGTACGTTAACATATTAATATTGCACACTCTCTCCCGCGCTGATTCTTATTAGCCTTGAATTTGTTATTATTGTTTTTCTAATCTAACTAATATGATGGTAACTGTACAGAAAATATACGAGTAAATTATACAAAAAAGTTTATTGATGAAAATTGAGATACTATATTGGAGTGTCAGAAACGTGCAAATAATTACGTTAAAACAATCCACACGAATGATGTAGGATTAACAATGTATGCCCGAACTTTGTTACTTTACATTTCGGTAACGCGACTCAAACAACTCGTTCGTGATGATCATCGAAAGTGAAGAGGGAATGCCGATTGCCGTCTCTTTTCTCGTCGAACACGTCTTTACGTGGAACACGAGAGGACTCGCCGCGATCTAAAAGGAATAATCGTCCATTCTTTGTACCGAAGGTCTACACCAGGAACGCGCACGGCATAAGGGGACACGTGGAGGCATACGTAGCCGCCTTCGACAAGTTCTGGAACCTCGCACTCGAGGACTGCTTCGAGGTCTGGTCCCGCAAAGTCAAGAGGAAAGCACCCGCTGTCGGTATGATTATTTTATTAAAGCCTATACATTATAATTCATCAAAAGTCATCATCGCAATATAATTTTATTATAAACCACGATTCGCTTTCTTTTAATGTACTGAAACGGCCGATTCAATCATTTAAATTTTTTTTATATTAAATATACAATAGAATATAAAAATGTAAATATAAAAGAAATAATTCTTGTAATATAACTCTTCATTAACTGCAAATTATCGAATTAGTACCTTTGAGCTAGCAGGATGTCATCGACGGTTCTATAAGTTATATTAATAGAGATTTTATATTAATAAAATAAAGAGATAATAGATTTAGATTTAGATTTTTTTTAGAAATAATAGATTCTATTAATATAACGTGTTATAATCATTAAAGTATATAAGATAGTTCACACACGCGCGCGCGCACACAGAGCTAGTTTCTAGAAAATAGTTTATGTTATTTCCTTCATAATAACACTATTGTCTAAACAATTAATCGTTAATGAATTGAATTGGTTGAATATGCTATTTATTTACGAAATTAGTATTGCATAGATAGATGATCTATAACTCCAGACGCGCTTTAGCTGACAATTGAAAATCGATTTTTCTTTACCAAAATTTTCCGAATTAAGTAAATGCAAATAGATAGCGATATTTTATCATTTAATTTCAATCAAATTTTACTTTAACAATACTTTAATATCAAGATTGTTATTTATAAGTTACGAATGCACAATGCAATGTTGATTCTAGCTTCTGCTGTTCGATATCGTATTGATTTAACTGTAATGCAACTGTTACAAAATATAAACTGTAGTAATCTAATTATGTTTCTCTTATTATGTTAATCGTGTTGAATACCTTATATTTCATAAAGATTGTTGATTGAAAAAGAGTTACAAAGACTGAAATGGCATAAAGTCACAATCTGTTCTAGTTATTATATGTATAAATCATTTAGTCGCGTATGTGAGAGAATCATGGATAAATTATAATTTTCAATTAGATTTTTAAACGAGAACGACGGAGAAAAATCTCGTATTTTTTTTTAATCTACTCGATGTAAAACATATTAATATTTTTTTTACAAATAATACAAGAATAAGCGCTGTAAAATTTTCAAAATTTATACGATCTGAAAAGAGTATGCAGATACAAAACTACACAATTGAAATTCATAAACAGCATCCTTTCTTAGCAATTATAGATTCTTGATACTGTAATAATAGTTTTTGGTATATAAATATGTAGATGTATATGGCATTGTGCAACGCGCAAAAAAATCACAAAAGTATCAGAGTCGAGGTAGATGTGATGGAAAGGAGGTGGTCGATCGATTATTCTCGCCTCCTTGTGAGTTTTTGCGTCTCACAGAGATACAAAGCGCCATGATGGCACGAGAATGAATGAGTGAATGAGTGAGTGAGTGAGTGTGGGGGGGGGGGGGGGGAGAGAGAGAGAGAGAATCGAGTTGGACATTAAAAAGCGAGCTTTATAATCTCCAACATTTCTAAACATGAATGTGATATATGGAAAATTATATACTATAATATGCAATTCTTTTGGAAGATTATTACGAAAATATTCGGTTACATTTCCAAAATATTCTCTCTCGATTTAGAACTGTTAAAATCACGCTATTCACAGATTATTTAGTGTCTTAGTCTTTCTTTTACACCTTTCGTATAAATTTAAAAATATAATATATAAATATTATTTCTTTTAAAAAAATTAATATTCTCAAATATTATTACTTATTGATATTTTCATTATAAATATTTCACATTTTCCTGAACATGTATTTGATGTGTTGAAAAGTTTTTGTTTTTTTAAATTAAATTTTTCAGTCTTTTTTATGAGAAGAGTAGAGAGAAACTAGTAAATTTTTTCAAGATAAGAAAATATTTATTAAAATTGATAATTGTTAGTAATTATAGAGAATTACTATAATTAATAAAAATTGCGAATTTTATCTTATCATTGTCTATTTGACCAAAAAAAAAGTCAAAATATATACTAATATAATAATAGGAAACGTAAAACATGTCATATCTTGTATAAAATAATTTCTTTTCTTGAGTCATGGATTATAAATAAGCGTGCAAATATATCGATTTTTATGATATCGGAACTCACAATCATTGTATATATATAGCCTGCGTGACGTGTCACATAACTTAAAATTCATGAATTTGTCTCTTAGTTTGCTTTGCCATTCGCCTATCACCTCTAACATTGTCGATACAGAATGACGGAGACAATTTATCATCGGGTCAGGGATGTAGTAATCGACGATAGTCACTCCAGTTTAAAATCTTACCAGTTTAAAATTAACTTACTTATTGATAATTTTTTTCGCTTGTATTATTTGTTTGGCCTTGTTATTCTTATTAATATACATATACGTTTCAAATGAATAGTATACGTTTAAGCAATCTTTGACAATTCGTAATTTAATAACACGACGGAAAATAAAAGTATCAAATACACATTTGAAGCTTTCACAGGTATTATCTCCAATTATACTAGAAAGTATGTGCTGGGTTATCGCTGTCTTCATTCTTAATGCCGACGTTTCGTGAATCGTATCAATGCACCCTTTGCCCTCATGAAGTGAACGGCATGGTTCACGAAACGTCGACATTAAGAACGAAGAAAGACACGTCGAACCTTCTGGTATAAAAGTATCAAATATAAAATTGTTGCTCTATTTTCTTCGGAACTGCAAAATTACATCTTAAATGTAAGATTCCATTTTTCTCCACGGAAAAAATGATTTTATTAAAGTATCTAAAAATATAATTAGATACAGATAATTTTATTGAAGTATCAAAATAATTATTATGTAGAAATCTCAAGCGTGATGAGTAACGCTGCAAAAAGTTTTAACATTCTAGTAATTAGTTTAAATATTACATAGTTACTTTTGATAATCCAAACAAAATTATACTCCCAAATCTAAATCTAGCTAAATTGTCAGAGATAGGTACTTTAGGAAAACCGTTCTTTTTTCGCGCTCTAATTTTTTTCTACAATTTGTTTCGCAAACGCGCCTTTATTAGAAGAGCATCTTCGTCATCGGGACAAAAGTACGATCTACTTCGCTGATCCGCGAGATTCCCATTCTTCATTCGCTACGCAAATCGATAGGGTTTAATGAACTTGCCTCAGGGGGGAGTACACGTGCGCGCGCGGGCGCGCGATCCATTCGTCTTTATTTACACCGCGCGGCAAAAGGGCGGCAGCCGTGGAAGAGCAGAGAGGAAGGGTCGTCGTATCGCGCGCGCGAAGGGGGATAATACATCCCACTAAGGTCGCCGCTTTGCGGCAGGAGCAAGGACCGACCTTGACTACGTATAGTGGTCGTCGACGCGCGCGTTCGATACTCATTTGAGGCGGAGAGGAGGAGGTCCGCGCGGGGTCCTCTTCGCGTGCGCGCTTCCTCGCTTGTTTCTTCGCTGCCTCTTTTCACCACTTCTCCTCCTCCCACGCGGCTCTTCTCCGTCGTTATTCTTCCTCGTCACGATCTTCTTCTCCCCCGCCTGTCATTCTGCGCGCGAAACGCTTCCCCAATGCTCTATATACTCCTTCCTCCCCTCTCCGCACGGCAACGATTTTCCTCTCGCGCGTTACCCTCGTCTTTCCTTTTCTCCTTCACCACGTGCCCTCCAACCTTTGCCTCTCTCGTTTTCATTCATCCGCACCGATCGTGTCGAACATATACGAGCTAAATGGCCTGCAAACACGTGTTCCAACTTGGAAATTTTACGATTCATTCCTGTATATTATTCTTCACATATATTAAGTTATGTTTAAATGACAGGTGCAGGATACGATCAATGTGATGCTAGAAATGCTTTAAAATATTCTTTGATTGGTCAATTAATAAAATTCTTTTCTGATTTTTCAATCAAATACTTCAAAGTATTTGTAGTGAGACTTGACCTCGGTAAAACAGAAAAAAATACACAAAACAATTTTACTAAATTTTTAGATATTTTAACAACCATCTGGAGTAATTATTTTGATAGTTCAACAAAATTATATTCAGATCTATACAATAAAAAAATGATCTGATCAAACCAACAAAAAAGCCTAACAAGAATGGCATTTTAGTGAGATTATAAGCAGAGTTTATTGTACTCTGATAAACAAAATGTCATTCTTGTTGAGCCTTTTTGTTAGTTTAATCAAAACATTTTTCTCAGTGTAGCTAAATTTTTAGATACTGCTTAATAATTGATATATTATGGAATATTTTATTAATTATTAGCTGCAAGTTCTTCGATTAATTCACAACTGATTTTTTTTTCTTTTAATAAAAATAGGAAGAATTTTTTTAATTTTAATCTCTCATGGCAAAACTAACAAAAAATCTACTTGAGAGAAAAATTAATTTTATTATCTATTAATGCTTGGGAAATTACTTATTGAGAAAATCATACTCTCGCTATAAGCAACAAAAGATTATATATTTAGAATTCGAAGAAATCTTGATTAAAGTGATATCCGCTATATATTCATTTTTCCCCTAATTTTCCTCAGAAACGTGATCTGTTTCCCGGAAAGTTTAGATAGAAAATCCTTTTATAACCGATAATTCTGGATCGCACGTGTTTTATCGCGAGTTCTTTCGGCGAACTTATATTTTATCGTATTATATATAACTTTAATTTCCTATCTGTTCCTATCAAGACCGTTCTGTAATCTCGTGATTTCTACTAGACAAACTAGCGTCTAACCTGCACGTGTATTATAGATATATTGAGAGAGAGAGAGAGAGAACGCGGCAATTTCATTTTTCGAAATTCACCAACTCGAAAAATCTGTTCTCTACGACTTGATCGGTCGATCTCATTGGTTACACAAAGAAAATACATTTGCAGGGTGCAGACAACTTTTGTTTGAAACAATTTTTTACAAAACTTATATTTTTTGAGATATGTCGAGGTCCGACCTTTTTCGAACACTGTCTGCTGCAGCGATGTAACAACGCACGCTTTCGATCTTAGGATCACTTGCAAAAAATTATCCTTTTGGTGCCTCCGACAGTCTCTAAAAGTTTATCGGTTGAATTTCCAAACACCCTGTATACTTAGAATTCGAGCAAACTATCTCTTAAGAGATTAATGGAGCTCCGTAATACAGTGTTGCGAGAAGAAACTCGTGTTAGGACTAATAACACTTTCCTTCTCGTTGTCGTTTAAAAAGCAACGGCTAGGCTGCTCTTCCTCTCTCTTTCGGCGCACCGAGTTCAGAGTTGGTTGGCCTACTGACGTACTTTGGTACGTCGGTATCGCTAGGGGTCGCGAGGTCGTTGATGCGAGGTTAAGGGAGGGTGAAAGGACTAGCGACCTTGGAAAACAGCCCAGCAGGATCGATGAATATCATCTCATGTACACGTGTCCTTTTGGTGCCTGCCATCCCTCTTCTGACCCTCTTGGTCTTTCGGTTTCCTCCAACTCCCTTATCGTAGTCCCCGCGCGTTTTTATGGACACGTGCTACTACATAAACAATCTTCCTAGACTTTCTTAATGATTTTAGCGAGCGTTTTCTTTTTCAGATTTATCTGCGACACCGTACACACTTCCGATAATTTCCGCTTAAGGTTCACAAAATCAAAAATTTTCTAATTTTTTTATTTTGATCGCCACAATACGTCTATGGGCTCATGATAATTCATTATAATTGAGTTTCTAATTATATAAAGTTTATTAATATACTTAAGAAACTTGTAATTAAGAATATTTAGTTATTTTAAAATTTCATAACTTGCTTTTAAAATTTTAATATGCATAAAAAAATTTTTCTAAAAAGTACTTATAATATTAAAATTTTTGAATTGTTAAAAAAATTGCTTTTTGTATTAAAACACAAACTTACAAGATATATAACACTGAAATAGAATAATAAAAATTTTTATCTCATAATACTTAACGTTCATTTGATAAATTTAAATACAGTTGATAAATGTATGTACCGTGCGCACACGCGCGCTTATGAACTGATAATATACTTTAACACACGCCTATATAATGTCTATATAAGTCATACAACAAAATATTGTTATCATTAAAAATAAAATCTCGCAAAAATGAATTTGACTTCCCTCTTCAGAATCTATTTTTGTTTCTCTTATCTAGTATCTCTATCTGTAGATATGTTTCCTATTTTAACTAAACAAAGAACGACGATGACTTATGTCGATTATGACGAACGAGTAAAATCATTCGTATTTATACGCTCACTGATATATTAAAATTTTGAAGTAGTCGTACCGTTAACTGAAATAAGGAAATAAATATCAGACAAGAACTCGACATTGCATTTTTGATTCAGGTCCTGATGCAGTCAGAGTAGAGCCAACAGAAAAAGACGTCCCTAAGGTGGTAGTGAAGAAGATTGAAGGAAAGACGGAGACCTTGGAAAGACACGTGCCGCAGATGTTATTGAGGGGAGAACAAGTCGCTATAATTGTCAAAATCAATTGACTATGTGTTATCGTCTTGAGGGCCATTCCACAAGCATCGTACCACGTGCATTCAATTACATAGCCAATTATGTTTCCTATCTCATGTGTGTTTCCTATTACTCGTTATTTATTCCTTTAGAATATCTATATTTGCGAAAAGTCTTGTAGAACTTTAATTTTCTCGAAGTATACCTTGAATATACAATATTAATACAAGAACCTCAATATTTTAATTGGATGGAACGAACCGTCATCCACTTATACAGTATTAACAATATTACGTTGCCAATGTTACATTGCGATTTGCATAACCGGAATAAATATATATGTACATTCATTTTATATTCCCTCCTGATATATTTGTATAATAAATATTTTGAATAAAAATAAGATTGTGTCGTATATTTCAAGATTATAGTTACATTTACGATGTTTACGTATTGTTTGTCACGTTTACACAAATCCTCCTCGTGTAAACAATGTAAAATATAAATTATTATAAATTGCATAACACAATATAAAAGGAAGTAACTAAATCTTATGATTGTTCACACACACATATATGTATATATGATTTTAGTATAAATAAAAATATAACTGAAAAGAGAGCTTTAGTGCAATTCAAGTAACAAAAAACATAGACTTTGATGATCCGTAAATTGTTTACATAATAATTTATAGTTTCACATTGTATACACATAGATACAGATTATTATTGGATTGGAAAGAAAATTATTGCCGTTTTTTTAACTCAGTGTATATATTAGAATATATTTGTTATGTAATTAGATTGGTAATATATCTAGTAATCAATAGAGCAAAGAGTTTCAGCTTTAATAATTTTTTTAATTGCAGTATGATGATTTTTAACGGAGTGATGAACAATGGAAGTCAAAATATTCTTTTACTTAACTCGCGAGTAACTTGCTAATAAAAAATCGTAAGAGCATTTTTAAAAAGCGACTTTATAAAAGGAAAACTTTCAATTATCGAAAATTCTTACAAAATTTTTTTGAACACGTAATAAGCACCTACAAAATGAGAAAAAACAATTCCATCATTTTTAGTTCATAGTTGTTTGTATGTAAAAATTATTAAACTCACAGAAACTCAAAAAATCTAGTAACCTTTCAAAAGTACATATAAATTTCAAACTTTAAAATCCTTTTACAATTTAAATTCCGTTCGTTTTTAACGAAAATATTGTATAACATATACAACTTTGATTTAAAAAAAAAAACCGACAAGAGAACTTTCTTTCCAACTGAATATATTTTACGCGTATAAACGCACAACCTTAAACATAAAGACATGAAAATCCTCGCAAATGCGTAATAAAATTTCACACCTCTCTCTCTCTCTCCTCGTCTATTCCGCTATAATTATTTTCAACAGGTTAAACATACGGACATTGTTAAGTAGTTACGTTAAAGCGTCGCGCCCCTGAAATTATACGGGGAATCAAAACCTGGAGGTCGGCAAGGTTGGACTTTCTCGCGACAAATGCAAGGACTTCGGTGAGAAAACGAAGAAAAAAAGGAACGTCGAGATGAAAAAAAAAAAAAAAAAAGAAAGGTCAGTCTACAAATTGCAGCATCAACATGGCCTTCGGACGCTCGTATGAACGGTTATGCGGAGAAGACGACGATGCAACGCAACGGAGCGGAGGTAAAAGCCGAGATAGAACTCTAATCCGCGACGTGCGAGCATCGACAAGGAAGTAGAAGGCGGAGAAGAAAGTTAATTCGCGCGCGATTGTCCGGCGGCGTCGCGCCATTCCACCATAGACTAAACTCACGATCCGCGACTGGTTTTTCCCTTCTAGCGCTCGTCGCCCTCGTAAATGTCTCTTTCACTCCCTCCCACCCTTGAAGCAGTACTAGGTGGAATGCGCGCGTTGCTGGGAATAAGAAAGTTCCGATTACGGTACCGGGTCGGTGCCCGCCAGAAAACCAGCGTACATGATTAACCCCGTCATTTACAACGACGTGTCGTTACTTATCAGCAAAAGGATCGATATTTCCTTCGAATCAATCTGCACACGATGTGGACACTTTTAGAAACTTTTAATTGGAATAGTGAAATATTAGCTTTTGTATTACATTAAAATCATACTTTTAGTATTTTTTTAATTCTTTGTAAAGATTATTGCAATGATTATTTTACTTAATTGGAAAAATTTACGTATATGCCGTAAAATTCGATATATACATGTAGTGGATTTATTTGTTGTACTATATATAGGTAAAAGAACAGTTTTACTAAAGTATCTAAAAACTTAACTAGATATAATTTGTAAAAGATTTTGTTGGATAAAATAATTACGCTTATAAGCATGAATGATGCTGAAAACAGTTTTAACATTCTATTAACTTGTGAGCGTCCTATATAATTATTTTGATGATCCAAATAAAATTATGTTTAGATCTATAAAAAATAAAATATCTGTAATATCTATGTTATCTGTAAAATCTGTATTTTCAAATCTAGCAAACACGTAAAACAGCATTAAGATGTCTTCTAAAGTTCTTTATGAGAGCGATATCTCAAAGATATTTCTTTAAAAAGAAACTCTTAAAGATATCTTAAAGTTGTTTTATATGTCGATTTCCATTATTATTGGTAACTAAAAAAAGAATTGCGAAAATTGTACAATGGTATTAGGACTTTTCGATTCACATACAGTTTTTCATAAACAGTACGTATGTAGGTACATGCCGTAAATACATGCTTCTCAGGCTGGTCTGGATCGTCTGGATTAAAAGAAAAAAGATTTAGTGTCTTCAGCAAAACTGTTTTAGTTGAGGCATTTTTTTAATAGCAATCAATCAATTATTTTGTTTATATGAAAAATTTAGTTACCTTTATAAAATAATTGTTCTACTTTGTAAATAACAAAAATATTTGTCTATCCCAATTAAATAATTTAGTTCGCATAAAATTACAGTTTTGTCCGATACATTTTTTAACCGAATTGAGTGAAATTTTGGTTTGTAGAACAAAACATTTTTCCTAGTATATGTATATATATATTTATAATTGTATGCTGAATGCACTACTAGCTTGTCCTATGACATAGAGCACTTTCTCTTCAGCGCAGATACTGCAGTGAAGGCTAATCCGCGAGAAGGATGCTGGCTATTTCATGGTCGTAGTATCAGTTATTAACATACTAGATAAGATAAAAATTTTTTTACGTGCTTACTTCCTTTCGTCCACCTAGCATGATATTCATAACATATTGAAACTGCAATAATTTTTAAATGATAAGTGATTACGACTATACGAATTTTCATAAATTAAGCATTGAGATCACAAACACATGACAAAATCCTTTATGTCCTTCGTTTAATTTCAAGTTGACATTCCTTTCGCAGAATTTTAACTTGAGAGCTAATTAAAGCGAGATCTTTATAAAAAGGTCGACTTGATTAAATTTTAATAGCAACAAGCCCGGAAAAGAGACATCAACGCCGTATGTGTAATTTAAGGTTCATCCACTCTTACACGCGTATTTACCCACGGACATTATCGCCGAGAGTCGCGTCGAAATGACACGTCGACCATAGTGCGCTACGTTACTCTTCCGTAATTACAACTCACAGAGTGTACCATTAATTTTCGTATCGTTTCCCCCTCGCTGAAAAAGAACAGTAGAGCGTATACGTAGCATATTTCCTCAGACTCTGCGCGGAGTATCTCCCGCGTACGAAGCCGCGCATCGTCGCTCGCTCGCGGCCGTTGTTGTTCCAGCTAATCGCTCTAAAATCGGATTTTTCCGCTCGCGAAATCGCGCGCGCCTTCGCTTCTGCGTCGCGGAAAAGTGCATCTCGTCGGGGCAAGCACGGTGAAAGCACGAACCTCCTCCCACCCCCTTCCCTCCTCCCCCCCACACCGCCGCGGTTCCTGCCCCCCGTTTCCCCCCTTTCTCCTCTCATCCTCCCCATGCTTTGTATGGGCCCCCGCCCCCCCCCCTTCACGTCTGTAAAAGACTCCATCGCGCTCGCGCCTTGACGAGAACGGTGCGCGCTGTTGCGAGCTCCCCTCGTTCTCTTCGCCCGCTCCTCCCAATCTCTCACTGTCCCCCGTCCCGCACCCGTGTCCCGCGACGGTTGTGCACTTCTTCTGCGGTGTACTCTCGCGATCCGACGAGGGGTTAATGCACTCCTAGAGCAAACCATAACCTTAGCCGGAACCCTCGAAGAAGCGCGGGAATCTCGCTGTCGACGAGCCTCTCGCGGTACACTCTCGAGATGCATTTATAATTGAATTAATCCTTGGAAAACAAAACGCGTTAAATTATATACTTTAATTTACTTCATTTTTTGTGACGACGTAACGACGATTTCTTAAAAACTAATCGTTAAAATATTTTGTAATGTAGCAGTAAATATATCTTTCATATATAAAAAAATCAGATATGTTCAATAAAAGAAAGAAATAAGATTAATTAGATCATAATTAATACAAATACGAAACCTGTAACATTCTAGCTTGGATCTTTTAAACGCTTACATATGTATATAAACTACCACGGTACTATCACGAATTAATTAAGATTAATTAGATTTCGCTCGTTCTTTGCAATGCAATGTATAAAGAAAAAACGGTCTAAATCGAGCGGTAATAAGATTTTTTTATAAAATAAATTTCTAGTTTACAATGTTAATACAACATAAAAATATAAAAATAATATCGAACGTTTCGGAACTCACACACACACACAACACGGGTCCTTCGTCAGCGATTCTTATAGATGTTACAATATTGTAAACTAGAAATTTATTAAAAAATCTTATTACTTACCGCTCGATTTAGACCATTTTTTCTTTATACTTTGGAATAAGATCATTTACGAACAAAAGTTAAGTTCTACGAAATTAATTTATTTTTCTCGGTATTTAAATCGCAGTCTTTTTTTTTATCTGTGAACTTCCATTTGAGATTTCTATAAGTTTACATTATATTTTTTTCACTTTTCATGTATTAAAAAAACTCATCTATCATCCAACAAAAAATAAATAAGATTATCTATGTATAAAAGACATCATAAAAACATATTATAAAGATGTTATTTAGACATTGTTTATTGACTGAGTTGCTTAGAAAAAAAATTAATTTACTTTCCTCAGATTGCGTAACGTTTTTAACTATCCATCTTTGGACGGATTCTTCAACTTGAAATCTTTATACAACATTTATATCCTACAATTAGAGAGAGAGAGAGAGAGAGAGAGAGAGAGAGAGAGAGAGAAAGATCAAAAATATTTATCACTAGAATCTTTAAAAGTACCATCGATATTTGAGTGTAAATTTTGGTAAATGAGTTTAAATCTGTAAAGA